CCTATTATTACATGAATAGTTTTGAGTAGGCTAGGAATCTGACTTGAAAGACTGATCATGTCACACTTCGGCAAACAGAGGCTCATGTCCTGGTATGTAATATTTGCTTAGAAGGGTCCAGATTATGGAATGAGTTCTGAAGAGACACAGCCCAGAGTATGTGGAGCAGCTTGTGCAATGTAGATTTCTATAATGATAAATAATTTTATTAGTGGGCTCTAAATAGTGATTTCCTAGAATCAGCTGAGAGCCCTGTGCCTTGCAAAATCAGGGCTCCAATCGTTACCGGAATGAGGTAGTTATTAACACCGTAGCATTCTATTGTTTATAATGACAACCTAAAATTATATAAAAGTACTGTGTGATTTTGTTTTTTGTTCAAACATTGATTTCTGAAGATCCAATATAGAGAGAGATGTTGAAAATACCAGAAAGCTACAACTGTCCGTGTGAAGTCCTTAAGTTTGTGAATGTCAGTTCATTAACACAAGATGTGCACTTCATTATTTCTTTTTATTTTCAGTTTTTCTTTTAAATCAAACCAGTTTGATCCCTATGAAAAATTATTTTTGTCAAATACTATATCAGCTTTGCTCATCCCCTGTTTTGCAGAGTCCCATTACAGCTTCATACCTGTGTTTGCTTCCTGATTTATACAAACTTTGTTTTGCAGTCCATTGTTTCATCGATCCTTCTTTTCTACTCCATTTTTTCTTGCTTTTCTTCTTCCCCTCCTTTTTCTTTTTGTTTCTTTTTATTTATTTATTTTAAATTTAAGTTGGAAAACACACTGGATCGTCGAACATCTTTTGAGAAATTCACACGCAATGTGGTAAGTTTGTTGCCTCGGAAGACTAGTAAACCTGATGGGACATCCTTCTCCCCTCCCCTTCACTGATCCCTACTTTCCCTATTCGCTTCTCTAATCTGACAGTTGAAAGTGTATTTATCACAGTTTGTGAATTTTCCTAGGAATGACAGCTTTATAATCTGCTTTCATTACAAACCCTCCTCCCTAGTCCCTTTCCCACTGACCTCAATAGTCACACATGGAAGAATGGACCTTTGGGAGCCATGCTTTTTGCATTAGGAAGCATGAAACTATTCACTCTTTCTCCCTTTTTCTTTTTCCCTTTTTTTGTTTTGTTTTGTTTTAATTGTAGTAAAGAATCTGTGAAAACCTGTTTGATGTTGTTCCTTTTTCTGGTGCCTCCCAAAATACTAAGTCTGACACAGTTTGAATACATTTAATTTCCCTCCTGTCTCCTTTTTTATTTTAATAAAAAAGAGTTTGTCCCTTTTTTTTCAATTGGGCACAGAGAAAAATAAACAATAATAATTTTCCCATCTTCCTTAATGTCTAGCATAACTTCTTCAGGACCAAAGAATTCATACTGAGGATGTGCAAGGGTTTGGGATTTCATTTTGATAACAGATTACGAGAACTGAGTATTTTTTTTTAATATATGATTTTCAAAAGCTGTTTCACAAAGGTAAAAAAGTGAAGGCTGGTAAATTTGCTGTGGGCATTCTTTTGCCACTTGCCAAAAGCTCCACTGATTTCCTGATATGTGGGATTCCTTTTACTTATCCAGTTTCTTTGGATTTTTTTTAACATTGTGAAGGTTCAAACTAAAGCATTCAACGCATTTATTTTTGTAGGGCAGAAACATCCCTATTTTCCCATGCCATAAAAACTGTACACCAACACTGAGGGCGAGCACTAACCTGTTATGAAAAGAGGTAGAAAGATCTTGGATTATACTCAAGTTTGTCTGCATTGTCTGTTGAATTGTGCAGGTGACGCTGCTGTGTGTGCGTGTGCGTCCGTGGCTTTTTCTGTGACCTGGTTAGTGGAGCTGTGTGCGTTGAATTGAAAAATATGAGAGCTTTCAGCAAAGATCATGGTTTTTGTTTTTTAGTTTCTAGGGAAGGAGAAGCGGTTCTCAGCAACTGCCTCCCGTATAATGAGGCTCAAGGGTGTTTCCTCAAGTATCTAAAAAATATATATACTTTCTAGTAATCAAAAAAAAAGAAACAAATGCAGTGAAAGAACTAAGTTTTGTGAGGCTGTGGGAAAATGTCCCATGTTAAAACAAAACTGTAATTCTTTAACTACTTTCTTATAGGTAAAGGCTTCCTGTAATATGCTTTGAATCCACTGTAATCAGGAAGAAATTTGGATTCAATGGGACAAAGTCAGTAAAGGACACTAAAAAGTAAATAAACAGCCACAAAGGAAGCTATCCCAATGTTGAAACAAAAACCCCTGTATTTTGCATGGTGGTGTTGCCATAGCATGTTGCAGTGTGATTTGTGTGTTGTGTAAGCAGGTTGATTTATAAAACAACATTGTACATGATAACATTGTACATGCTAATTACATGGTAATTCCATAGGAAGTTCCATATTAATAAAAGAGCCTATGTTAATAAAAGAGAGTAGGTAGTACATTCTGGACCTCTGAGAGCCAGGCTTTTTCCCAGTCACAGTGCCTGGCAAGCTGCGACAACTACGTTTCTTCATGGGAGTTTAAACAGCCCACAGATCAGGAATTGGTTATGGTGAAGAGTATGTAAACAGGCGGCTATAAGAAGAGAAATAGCAAGCTGCAAACAGATGTGAGGAGAATGCAGCACTAAAAGGGAAGAAGTGAAGACAGACTGGGAGGCACTAGGATGACTCTTCGATAACCCCTCTCAGAGCAGCGTTACTGACAAACCAGCAGTTCTGTGCACAAACACTGGAGCGTTATGCCCTGCAGGCATGCCCAGTTTTCATCCTGCTAATCTCAGGGCAGAAGTACCAGAATAGCAGGATGCCAGAGATGCAAGGCAGGCCCAATAAACCAGCTTGAGCTAGAAATGAGAACCAGGATTTCTGTATGTGAAGTGATAGTACTTCTTCAGTAGAAGAGGGCAATTTATTTTTATTCATGAAGCAAGAAATAAACTAAAAACTGTGGTTTTGCTTTTCCTCAAACTACTACCTGTGAATCCAGGTGGAGTCTGTCAAGTCGTGTCAGGTATGAAAGTAAAACATGCCACTGCTAGAACTGTATTCTCTATTAGATCGGCAGCTCTGAGGCTTGTAAATTAATCCAGAACATCAGGATGCTCAAGTGCGAACCTTTTCTCCAAGACGACTGAATTCACATCACCCACTGCCCCAGGACCCCTTGCCACCAGGCATCCTTGTTCTTCCCTTCTTGCTCTTGATTATGATTAGTTTATAATATAGAATTATCTATCTTGTTACAGCAGTTCCCACCAGCACTGATGAGAGAAACGTTTCTCAGAATATCCTACAGTGTACCGATTAACTTGTTCAACTGTAAAGTGAGGGACTGTGGTATAGATCTGTTCTTTTGATTAATACAGAAAATAGGTGTGAAACAGGTCTTCTACAACCTAGATGAAAGTTGTCATCTCTGAATGATTTAGTAAGATGAAAATTACAGTTTCTGTTCTCCTCTGTGGTTTAGAAAGTTTAGACTAATTTTCAGTTTTTTTCCTCGCTTTTATCAAAGTCGGTTTGTACTGAACTAAATTAGACCTGTTTTTTCCATTTGAAGTGTTTAAAAAAAACCACTAACCTTGGTTGTATCTAGAGACTGAGCCTGAGAAGATGACCTTGTGATTTGTAACCTGATTTGTTAAGATGGAGACTGTAAGAGGCTCCTGATCAGTGATGACTGAAAGTGGGTTATACTTGCTATAGAAAGCATTTGTTAAACTAGAAAGTTTAGAAACTTTGTAAGGGTAATCTCTTTGTACTATTCCTTGAATTAAGTGGAAATAACCTGATATAATGAGTCATTATTCTAGTCTGATGGGGAAAAAATAAAAGTGGAGCAATAGACACACAAAAAAAAAACAGGCTCAGTTCTATATTTCTTTGATGTTGGAGAGTTTTCTTTCTAGAAAACTTTCAATAAGTTGCTGCACTTTATGAAGCCCAAAACACTTAGCTAAAAACATTGGCTATTTAGCGTGGTCTGTAGATTTTATAGTGCAAAATTGCTAATGCCTTTGGAGGTCCACAGCAGACGATATGAATACTGTTAGAAACGGGTCTGCGTTCACCTACAACATAGATAAAGTGATAGCAAACTGGCATTTGCTATATGTAGTATTTATTAATGAACGCTTACAGTTTGCCTCGAGTAGTAAGCACAGCTGTTCTTGGTTTGCCTCACTTATTCACACTCCCAGGTATGTGTGAAAATATAGAGCATGTACACTTCGGCACTACTGGAGTTATGCCACTGGTTAAATGCATTGCCTTGAAATAACATTTGCAACCACCAGTGTCACAGCTCTGACTCTGAGGCACAGGGAGTGGTGGTGACAGTGTGCTCTGTGCTCCCCTCAGCCAGCTCAGCCCTTTGGGTTTCTCTTTGGGAATAATTAAGGTCTGTCACCTGCAGCTCCCCAAGGAAGAGAGTTGGGAAGCTAAAGGAGTGAGTCAGGGAGCAGAAGACTCTCATTGCTTGCCACAGTAGTAAAGAGAGGAAAAGAAACTTTCTGTGGCATTTAAAAACTGAAAATTCTTTTGAGGAATTTACATGGGAAAAATAATCTGTATTTAAAAAAAAAAAAAAAAGAAAATCAGGAAACTTCCCCTATCTCAAGTACTGACATCTACATTACAGAGGAAAAAAACCAAGTGAATATGCACTGATAATGTTGATGGGAACAAAGAGGTCCCTTAAGGAAAACTTTCATCTTTAATTTTTTATGAGCATGCAGGATTTGTGACAGTGGCAGACTGGTAGTCTGAGCAGGACACCTTTGTGAGCTCTAGCCCAGTGTTTAGTTGCAACCACCAGCCGGGAAGCCTGAAACAAAGGGATCTCGTTTACAGAGGAGTGGGATAATTTCATTTCCATCCCATGCAAGTTTTCTTGTCCCACCAGGAGCCAAGTTAGCAGGGCAAGAAGGTGCAGTCTTCCTCTTCAGAGCTGCCTGGAGGAAGACACTCCATCATGCCAATGTCATCCATTACTACCCAATTATAGAGAAGGCAAAAAAAATGTGCTTGTTGCAAGTTAGTGATGTTTTATGGAAATACAGCCAGTACAAAACAGACCAAACTCATCTCATATATTAAACTAGAGAGCCATCAGATGATAATTATCTCTGTTTGTAACCTCATAAACAAGACTCCATTTAATAACTCTGAGTTTGAAACCATTATGTCTTACGTTACCTATACCCTCTCCAGCTGCCTTCTTGCACTTAGCTGGAAGAACTTGCTTACCAGTGCCCTTTGATATTTTTCCCTTCCAAACCAGTAACATTAGACTATTTCATGCATGAGATGTGAAATGTGAAGGCATGTTTTCACAGAGCTCAGACCAATGCAATAGCAAATTATGGTCTAGAAGTGGAAATTAAAACTCAGAAAAATAGCTTCCTCAGTTCTTATCAGTGGAAGATAAACTTTCTAGATGCTTAAACAAGTGTCATCTCTTGTCATGTTAAAATCTGTCCTTCTATTGAGAAACAAGGCAGATAATATATCAGTTTCATCTGTTAATCAAGAAATGTTTCTGTAAGAACAGCTAAAACTTATGTATACAAGGCCCTACTGTGTCAGACCAAAAGTCCATCTAGCCCTGAAGTACTGCCAAGGGCTACGTTTTTCTTGAGCATAGCATTGTGAATGAGCTTCAATGCAGTATCAGTTTGTGGGATCTCATGTTCAATGTACAGTCATGGAAGAACTCCTAATACGACTTTTGCATTTGCTTGCAGATTATTCCTAAAATTTAAACCAAATAAAGCTAGTCAGTTAAATAATCACAGAGCTTCTTATTTGATAAATACAAAACAATAATGAAAATAATAAGTATTTGTAGAAAAGAAGGCTTTTTGCATTTCAGGAAAGAGACGGCTTATTGATGTTTGACTAAAAAGAAATGATGAAATAATTGAAATTTTTAATTTGAACTCATAATTAGTCCAAAAATCTAGCTTTAGGGTTTTTTTTAGGAATGATGCCCAGATTAATGAGGAAAATCAAAAAGGGCATCTGTAGGACACACTGGTGTGGACTGGCCTTGTTGTCCCATTCTGCAGCGACTGGAGCTAAGCTGCTGCACTCTGTGCTGGAAGAGAAGAGCTGAGGAGAAGCACTTGCACAACCAGGTTCACCTAAGTGAGGAGCCAGTGCAGACAGTTCAGGTATTAGGCCAGTGCCTGCTATTTCCCAGCCAACATTTACTTGAATCTTAAGCTATTTGCAGGAATGAGAACTGCAGAGAGCTATAGAAACCTGTGGGGTCAGGGCTAGGACAAACATGGTAAAAACATTTGTCTAGTGCATTGGTGACTTGCAAAATGTTACGCGTTACTCCATGCTTAGACGGTTATTCAAGTCCAAACTACCCCATCTGGCAAGACTTTGTAGGTTAATCACAAATGAGAGCAGCTCATCAGTAAATGTAAAGATTAGTGCGAAAGGAGAAGGAAATCGAGAGCGTCACCCGATTTGGAATGAGGCAGAACAGGAAGGCAGTCACTCAGCCGCTGCCTCCCATCTATGGACCACTCCAGGAAACAGCACGACCCTCATGAGAACTGAACAGAGGACTGCAAATCCCCGCGACACGCGGAAGGATTTTCCTGCACATGCAACCACTTAGCGCTGCAGCTGTGCTGAAAAGTTGTGTCCCAAATTCAGTAAACGCTGACCTCCCCTTCCTCACGTGTCTGAAAGAGAAATACACCTGCGCGGGTGGCTGAGCGCGGCGTCCCGGGCTGCTGTGGAAATCGAAGCAGCATCCTGACCCCCTGAGCGCCGCTAAAGGAATTCCCCTGTGCTAGACGAGCAAAGGCCGCCTAATCTTGGAAAGGCACTTACTGTTTCTGCTCCTGTGCCTCTCCAGATGTGCTTCTGTCAGGGGCTGTTTAGGTACCGCTCTGTGTGTGTCGCACAGCGGTGTCACTCGAGAGCTTTCCCTGCCGATGCCGGCCAAGCTGCTGGCGTGCTGCAGGTGTGTCGCACATGACCAGGTGGAAAATGGTGAGAGCAAGGAGGGTCAATTCTTGCTCTGTGTCTCATTTTGCTCGCAGCAAGTTCACATTGTTTCTCTGTTACACCTGGTCAGATGTGGAATTCTTATTTCTAGTATCAGTCCTGGGGAGTAGCATCTGTGCTGGCAATAAAGAAACATGAAAAAGGAGCCATTGAGGCTGCTTTGCAGAAAGGAAGAGAATTAATCTTCCAAAAGGAAAAGACTTGATCTTTCTCTGCCTTACATTTCAGCTTCAGCCCCTATATAAATTTCATATTGATTTCTTATAAGCCACATTATGTACTGAGGTTGTTGCTGACTTGTTTGCTGGATTATTTTGAGGTGTTAGAGTCATGTTTCTTCAATAGGTCAGTCAGCACGTTTGTATTTAGCGGCTCATAAAGCTACAAATGGTTTTCTGATTTTCCCCCTAAATTCTCTAAAAACGCAGTTAGAGGGACATCTCTATGTTAAACAGTTAATACACTACAGTAGGGTCATGGACACTGAGGCCAATTGATTTCATATTCGTAGATGTACTTGCTCACTCCAGCTGTTGTGCTGCCTGCTCATACCCTGACTCCCTTGTCAGAGTACGTGTGAGTGTTTCATTTTGGCTTCTGTATTATTAGTAAAATTGTGAAATAGTTTCAATTCATACGTCCAAAGTGCACCAATACAGTCAAAAATCCTAATCCTGTTTAGAATTTGGCCATATACTTCTAAATGTTGATGGAAAAAAATATATTGAAAATATTAAGGGTGTCCATTTTGTTCTTCAGACAAACATCTCCTACTTCTTCCTTTTTTTTTTCCTATTTTTCTTTAATCTCATTACCACAGGAAATATTTTCCTATGTGTGATGACTCGTATGCTACATCTCTCAGAACTGGCCTGTTAGATATAGTTTCCCAAATCGAAATTTGGCTTACAGAAATGCTATCAACATTGTATCTGAAAGAAACAGCTGGGCTCAGCTCTTAAATTATGACCCATAAGGAATGATCCTTACATCAGTCTGTAAATTGAGTAAATCTGGAAATCTCCTAGAATTGTTAATTATGAAACTCTACTGTACAGAGATAAAGTAAAAGTATATTCTGGAACAGAGTTTGAAAGAAATATTCCATAAACTGCAAAATAACAAATCCTGGCAGATTTGAATAAGATGGTGGGATAATTCTGTATTTGGTGCTGCTATGGATTGTGTGTATTAAAAGATTATTTTCCCAATCACAGAACTAAGTATGATTCAGAATAAACATGAAAGATCTCTTAAGGAAGATGTATCTTCTAAGTTGTCACTTTGCCAACTATAAGATAAATCAGAACTACTAATACCTGGAAACAGAGCTTAAGTTATTGTTGTTCAGATGGAGACTTCGTATCTTTAAGAAGTGTAACATTCTCTAAGGCAGGGAAGGGAAGTGGAGGAGAGAACCATCCAGGGAAATCCTGATCACTGTAGGGCTGAGGAGAAAAAGTGTCCAAAGACCAGTAATACTCAGGGAGCAAGTGATGTAGAATACAGAAAAAAATTGTCATGACAGTTCACTGAGTCTATAGGGGAATATTCAAATAATATGTAGAATAAGATTATACAAGTCAGATCAACTAACTAACAACTAGTTTTTGGCCTGCTTTTACGTCAAAACTTCCTAGTTTATGTGATACCATATCACAATGCACTCCTGAGACACTCAAATTTTGTCATGGTTCATCTAAAAATTCCAGGGAATTTACAGCACCTAAATAATCAATTGTTGCAGATAAGAATAAAAAATTATTTCACAGGTGTTATCCCGCAGCAAGAGCTTGTGCAGCTTTCCAGTGTGGTATTCAGCAAATTGTTTTAATAACTAATAGAGAGCTTCTGGGTTAATTGTTTCGATTAACTGGTTTATGCAGTTCAGTACTAAAGGGAACTCATACATATTTACAGGAAGTAGCCAGGCCTATAGACCTGTGAAATTAAGCTCAAATATCAGCATATGCTCAATATTTTCCTAGGTTATGTCCAAGGCTGACAATCATGAATCACCTAATAAAACACTTATTTTCAGATATGCTGTCTTAAATTGTATTCCAGTGCCACACAGCTGTTGAGACTTTTTCGACTATTTAAAAAGAAAAGATGTCTTAGTATAACAGTTTACCTGTTATATTAGAGGAAAACATAGTTTAAGGCTCAACAAGTGTCAAGAAGCCGTAAATCTAACATAGGTAGAAAGTGACCAAGCTAAACACAAGGAAGAGAGCGTGCCAGGAAAGACACTTTCTGTCTTTGGAAGAAGCAAGTGTTAATACTGCCAGGTAACATGGTGAACCTGATGAATGAGCAGTCTAACTCAACACTGCAGATCATGAGTTCCCTTCAAAGTTATGTTTTAGGCAAAATATTCATCCTAATTTGTTCAACTTGTATTTCAGAGCACAAAGAATAAAATGGTTATTCTTCCTTTTGTGAAGACTCACCCCGATACATTGTGTTTGAGTAAATGCTCAAAACCAACTCGCAGACCCCTGTGAGCATAAATTTAATCGATAATGACAATAGATGTTAAATTGTGTAATTCCACTGAGTTATAATACAGCAGATGTGGTAGAATAGGTTCATTTACCATTTACTGCAGGAGATGTAGCATCTCTCCATGGTCACGGTATTTTTTGCTTAGTCTCCTTGAAATCAATTTGATTTTTCTGAGTTTTGTACTTAAAATGAACCATACAATAAATGTAATTATTAAATATCTAACTGGAGAGTTAGACAGAGCCATTTGCTATTTAATGTTTTCTATCTATTTATGTTACATTATCAGGGTATGCCTGTGGTAATTTGAGGAGTGATGTAAGCTTGCTTTGCCAGCTCTGCCTCTGTTGGATCAGAGCCATGGTGGGATGGCCCTAGGAGAGCTATCTCCTTTTATGTGGCCTTAGGAGAACTAATTCCTGTTATGTGGTTTCATGGCTTTTGTCTGGCTAGGATAAAGCTCAAATCTGCCTGAAATATACCGTGGTGACATATCCTACACCATCCTCTTCATGTTGTAGACCTCACTCTTGTGGGACAGTCATTATACCTTACTAAAAGAACTCACTAAAAACCTGAAACCACATCCTTGCAACAGGAGGAATGATGAGAAAAATAACAATATGGAAATCCAAACACTTTCAAAGCAATGTTATGCAGTCCCGTGTAATACATCATACCAACGTTCCCTATAAATAGTAAATACGGTCTCAGCAAACCAATAGCTGCGTTCATGGAAAAAGCTGCTTTCCTGCCTGTATGCAATCTGCCTCTGACTTTCCTAACTGAACTTCACAGTAGCTTTTTGTCCCCTGTGGCAGAGCGACTGCTGCTTGCACATTCATCTTTGTAGCACAAGGCACTCTCGCTTGTAGCAGCCTTCTTCAAGTTCTGGGTACAACCGACAGCAAACCCTCAGCATTAGTTTCTCCTCAGCCAAGACCAACCTCGTTCAAAAACGGCCTTTGAATTTGCTGGCCAGTTCTGTGAAGCAATGTGGTGGCTGGCAGTGCAGGTGTGTAGGCGTAAGGGCTTCCTGTGGTTTAAGATTTGACAGACTCCAGTTGGTGCCCCTAGTTATGTGACAGTGATGTGGCAACACTAAGTGGTTGCTGATGAACAGGTTTGCAGTGATCATGCCTCTGTTTTCTGTTTTTGTTTTTTGTTTTTATCTTTTCCTCAGGGGAAATCGCTCACATCAAAGAGGTTAACCAGTCTAGTGCAGTCCTACTAAAAGGATCACCTTGTAGCATGGAAGCAGACTCAAATCATTATACATACTTTGTAGCTCACTGATTGCCTGACTCAGAGGACAGTAGAACAAGATGTTGCATGAGCAAGGACCTGACTTGTTTTCTTTTGTGTATACTAAGGCATTACAGACTCCGAGGGACTCTCTAGCCTTTCGATGCCTCCATTTCGAAAACTGTCTGCTCACTTCCTCCTTCATATCAAGCTGGATCTGTGTCTTTTTATTTTCTGCAAGCTCAAGTACAGTGAAAAAAAAGCTTCTGCTAGGCACAGTTTATTAAAAAAATACGTCAATCAAAAACTGGAAGAAATGTAAAAAATGCATATATTAATAAATATACATATGGCATCACATTTATTGCACAATAAATTAGCACAGAAGGTTTCATTTCACTGATGTATTCACATTGAGAAAGAAAGCCTGTGTCTTTGTCTGTTGTCTGTATATTCTCTGTTAATGTTTCTTGCATTTATTTTTATACCATATTTAAAAAAGAACACCTTTTACTCCAGATGTATTAAAGTTGATCCTTTCTCTGTAAATTTGTGTATGTTTATATTGTTGTTTTATCTTTCATTAAAAGATGCAGAATCTCTTTCCTTTGGGAAGTTTGAGATTTTAATATTGAATCTGAAGATTAGTCAAGAGCAAAATCATCCCCAAAAGTTCCACACCTTGTGCTTTCTAAAAAGTGACATGAAACAGCATTTTCTTTCTCTCAGTGACACCTAATCAAACACACTTTTATTGATAATCATTTACTTTTTATTTTCTTTTTCTCAAGCTAGCAGCAGTGAGACCTTTCCAGCTTGCTCATCATCACATAAGCAAACCTTTCTTTAAGCTAGACCGGTTCTGTGATAGTGCAGCCTGCACAGCCTGCTCCAGCCATTCAGTCGCTGCCCACGACCGGATCGACTGAACTGCATGTCCTTAGGAACGGACATGAACAAAGCTGGCTGAGAACACAAGAGTGTGTTTGCTAAACCAGGAAGGACAGTGCTTCTTTCTCCTTGCCATCACTCATGATACAGTACATTTTAAGCTGAAAAGGCAGTGGTTTGGGAGTGCTGAGTCTACTGTCTGTGTGGCAAACCTTGGGTAGTGACGCAGGAGGTTGTCATGTTGATTCAAGGACTCTATTCAGGTGTGCTGTTGTATGTCTGGTGCTGGGATTACTCACGCACAGAGACCTACTGACAGATTTATGAGAGCATCTAGCTGTTGCCCGTGAGACGGCAGACGTGGAGCTTCTGAAGCTAAACTGAGCTGGAACCAGAGATTTCTGCTTGGCCTAAGAAACAGCACTTTTGACGAGAGAGATGACGTAAGGATAGCAGGCAGAATCTCTGAGCAGAAAAGCCATGATGGGAACTAAGTCAAAAGACAAAATGCTGGTACCTCCAGGGCATCGCAGGGTGCATAGGACAAACAAACCTTTATAGCAATGCACAGGAGAGACTCAGGACAGCCAACTCGAGTACCATCTGTCATACTGCCTTTGGTTCAATATTGAGAAACAGGAATCTTGCTTCAAAGGGACTACTGAAGCTAAAAATGCCCACCCAAACACCCAAAGATAGTGGGACAGTCATAGACACAATCAGGCAATAAATTTGGATACACTAATGCTCATGTCATCTCATTTAACACCTGACAGATACCCACCTGAGTTGTCACCGCTAAGGACAGTGCTCCAGCACGGAGCAGCTGTGGACAGAAGGGAGCTGAGCTGCCTTCCGCAGGGAGCACGCGCTTCTCCGCTGGCTCAGTCGGAGCCTGGTGCGGCAGTAGCCCTGACTGCAGCATCTCTGAAGAGGTGGTCTGGATGAACCTGGGACCAAACACATTATGAATCGTCATGAATGGCTGTTCCCCAGGGTTTTTCTCAGTCGGGGTGTCTGGAGGTTTGGGATTTCTGTCTGTTCTTTGTTTTCACTTGCGCCTGTGTTGCTGGATTCTAGCTAAGATGTTAATTGCTGCTTTAAAGTGTCTCCGTTTTCATTAGCACGATTCTACTAAACTTTTATCAGAAAACACTGGAAATGCCCCATGAGAGCTTGATTTTATCAAGAGCTCCATCTAGGTCAACTCAAAATATTCACAGTCAGGGGAGGCCAGATGAATTTTAATAAATAGCCACATTGAACCCCAGATCTTCAACTGAGATTTAATTTTCCTTTACCACAGAAATGTGAGCTCTGAGGAATGAACTTGGGGCCAGGCAATCCACAGAAATTTGAGCTCCATTTCACTTCTCAGTGCCAAATAGAGATATTTATTTCCAAACTCCTGCTGCCACCAATTGCATCAGCTGGTATATTGCCTGCTTTGCCTTAGGAGTTAACTAATTAGATACCAGTGTCTGCCTTGAAAAATCACTCCCTTCTAATAACTAATGTTTCAAACTCATGCATTAGGTATTTCATGCAACTTTACCTGGAGAATTTTTTTTTCCAAATCACTTTGCAGCACCAACTGACCAATAAAAAATGCGGAGCATTTGTGTTCCTGAACCCATTTTGTACTTATTCTAGTTCTTCCCTTTCAGTAAATATGAAGTCTCTACTCAATGGCTCGTTCCCTGTATTTGCACAAGATTTAATACTATATCTATAAAGTAAAAATACACATTACTAACACGGATTTCAAAGTAGTCAGAGAGCTGTATTAAGGTTTTATTTGAGCATAGTTTCAAGTGTCACAACTCTGCTGTTACACATGAGTGAATTTGGCCCAAACAGACCAAATAAAATCTGTTCTACAACCAGGTGACTTTTAAAGGGTTTCTCTGTGATCTCTTGATACCTCACCTGATCACTGTCATCTGCGAGTGATATAGGACTGGGAATGGAAACTCTGAGTAGGTATAAACATCCTTTTACTTCCCCACGGAGAAAAACAAATGTTTTTTTCTAAATTTATATGAAGATCCACTTCCAAGAATTAAGATTAACTGAAGTATGATTTTGGTTACACAGTGATATACCCATTAGGAATTTCAGTGAGGCCACGAGTCTGCTGAGAAAAAAAAAAAAAGGACTGAGAGAGAAACCCAATCTGAAGGGACCACATTTCTTGTTTTCTGGGAAGAGCCATTAATCAGTGCCTGCTGGCTCTGCCCAGGAACCTGGAAACGCCCTCCATTGAGGGATATTAATTGTAATATTCATGAAAATAGCCACTTGAAGCTGTGAACTTCAGTCTGAGAGTTGGGATTCATCAGACAGTCTCTTTCCTTATGCAACCTTGCTCATAAACCAGCTCTTCAGCCTGCAGGGGAAAGAGGTGTTTGCTGGTACTACTGTACCCTTGAGACGATTTTGTGCTCCCAGATCAGCCTGGGAAGGAAAATGGACAGTGGGAGAGATGGGAGGTTCTTTGGCATGTACCAGAGAGCAGCAAAATATTCACCCATCCTTCCACAACGTGCAATTAAAAACTGCCCTTCAACCCTACAAAACCAAAGCAGTAGGAGGAAAAAGGCTTTAAACAATGACGAGAGAAATTGCAAAATGCTGAGCTGAAACAGTAGTGGAGACTGGCCAAAAATTAATGAGCTGAAGGTGAATACAGGAGTAAGAAATGAGAATTAATTGTAGTGACTAGAACAGAACCGATAAGGGAGGAGAATTGGGAAACTGAGTAATTAGGAGCAAGAGAGGCTGAATGCAGCTGGTGGATTGCCAGGCTGTCGACCATGGCCACGCAGAGTTGGAATCAAAACCCCAAAAATCAGACAAGACCAACTGTGGCTCGCCCTTTAAAACCCAACAATGATGTTTTTTCGGCTAAAAGGCAATTAATACCAAAGATAGATAATAGATAATTGCCTTTTTCACATTGCACCCTTAAAATTATTTGAAATCATGAGACATAAACACCAAATAATCATCCAAGAAATAACAAATAGGAAGGCAAAAACCAGTGCCAGATAACGAGACCTATAGGAATGCATTTAGGATGTTTGTTTATTTATTTAAAAAATGAATGAAAGCTAAAGCGGGCAATTAGAGTGAGAGAAGGCTGCTTTCTTTAAGTAACTGGAATGAGGAGTTGGGAATCACCAGTGATTTATTTGTGGCTCTTCCATTTTATTTATCTTTATGCCAAGTGATTAACAGCCGTTTGAATTTAGATTTTAAAATTATCATCTTTTAAATTTCCTTTCTAGCTAGAGATGTTGTGCATAGACCTAACACCACTGGACTTATGAAGTGCATAACACATAGGAATTTTGCTAAAAGAAAGTTAATAGCTATAGGAACCTATATAAAATAAGTTTCAATCCCAAGATGTTCAAGGGAAATTACCAACAATTTCTGTGAACGTATTCTTTGTCCACAATTCATTTAAGCAAATTATTAAGTGGTTGTGAGTCATACCAATCTGCCTTTTGATCTGACTAGGCTGAACACATTAATGCTTTTGTCTCCTTTGAGTTAAAGATAGGCTGAAGTCTCAAATCAAAGAGGCGGAGGGGAAGAGAGGACGTTCTCTTGGAGGCCGGGCTCCCCCTCCTCGTTCTGTGCTGGACTATGGGGTCCTCAAGTGACAAGTGTACAAAAAAACGGATTTTGTCTGAACAGATATGGGCTTGAGGACTGCAGAGTCTCTCCAGACAGTCATTATCTCTGCCACTACGAGTTTTTTTTCCTAATATCTGAACTAAATCTCCTTTACTTCAATTTTTTTTTTTTGTTTTTGACGGGGCTGCTACAATCACTATAATGAAATGTTCGCTACCTTTTTGCTCAAATTGGTAAATGACCATTGCAACATTACAGCTGCCTTTGTTTTTATTACTGGCATTTTCTGAAGCGTTGCATAGCTTCATGGCTCTCCTCCGGGTTGGGAGTGTTGCAGCTTTCTTGGAGGACAGTGCCCAGAGCTGGCTGCAGGGCTCCCACTCAGGTTTACAGGAGAAGGGCAGAGGATTACTGTTGTACTTCTGTCTATGCACACAACTATGGGGCTTCCCCTTTTTTTGCAGTAGATGGCCACTACTGAATTGTGCCAGCTTATGTGGCATGGTGATGCCCGGATCCTTTGCAGTAAAACGTAGCTGGTGGTTCCCCCTGGCGTGTAGCTGACTCTTCTCGGGCCAGTGAGGTGTCTTCAGTTGTCCATTGAGTAGCACCCTTGCTTTTCAGACTGTCTTTCCCTTTTACCTAGATCACTTTTCTTTTTTGATTCTAACCTAAGTGAAAAGTGGAATACTTGTAGTCTTTTTACCTACTGGTATCTTTATGTGTAGGTGAAAGTGAGGAACCTGCTGGCCTGATTCTTTAACACAAGCGCATGAATGAGAGTGAGAACCGTCAGCATTATTTGCCCTAAGGGATCTGTATGTGAGAAATTGTTAAGAGAAATTGCCATGACAATGAACTCTGAGAACCTGCTGAAATGCTAGCTGATAGTCCTTATTTACAAGTGTGGACATGGACAGTAAATATCAAACAATATTAAGGCACGATTGTAAATGTTACCTTGTTAGTGGCATTTGCACAATTTTTATTGTACTTTTCCTTCGCTCCCAAATATAATCTGCCTCATTCACCGTCATTGTCTCTTTTTTTGATTTGACTAGGTTTT